CGGTCGCTCAAAGACATACTCGTGGGAGCCAAACTATAAAAAGGCTATTTTAAACACGCGCTGGCTGGGGAGTCGTGTAGGCCTGTCAACCCCATTTTACACTCATTTTTTACTGTGATGCCCAGTCCTGTATCATGTGACTCACAGCTACTTTTGGGGCCGTCACGCATCACGCAAAATCCTTTGCCACGCCCAGGTTTATAAGGCTGCTCGATTTTTTTTTCCTTCTTAAGAATTCTGCAAGAAATTTTTTTTTAACCAGAAACATATGCTCGATATTTTTTGGGGGATTTGCACAACCCCCCCCCCCCCATCAAAAATCAAATGGTCCACCCCTAAATACTCTGAGGCTCCGTCCACACGTATAAGGATATTTTTGAATCCGCAACGTTTTCTTTCCAGATACGGCATTCGTCCACACGTATCAGATGAATCAGACATACGAATCCGCAACGTTTTGAATCCGCTCTCTAGAGTGGAAATTTTTTTATATGTTATGAATCCGGAACGATGTGGACGCTAAATCCGGATATATTATTTATCCGGTGACGTAAGAAAATCGAGCACAGTTCTTTACCGAGAATGGGCTGTATTCACAGCATGATCTCTGTTCTCGACACCGAAATTGCGATTACACTCTTTTCTTTTTCATAAGAATGTTGTTTCTCCAGCCCAGGCTGTATATTCTTATTTTCTGCTGATTTTAGGCTGAAAATATTCATGTGTTATTCAGTTAAATTATAGTTTATGACAGAATATATTGGGGTTTCAATTATAGTAAGTGCAGGTTTTTTCGTTTTGTTGGCAGGTTTGCCGTTCAGAGAATGAAACAAGTTGAAAACATATAATTGTATTGTATTTAAGTTTTTGAACACACAAATTATATCCTTTTCAAAATCTCAGCCTGGGGTTTATTCTTAAAATATTCTTAAAATTTCGCAAATTTCAGCCTCGATATTCTTATAAAATATCTTCTTATAGAAAAACAAGAGTGTATCGTCATTTCTCATTTGGCCTCAAAATGACGATTATAACAATTTTGAGGACCCTGATCCGCATCCCAACCCATACCCTATCCCTAACCCTAACCCTTAGGAACTAGAGTGAATCCGGCGATACGTGTCGAATACGTGTGGACGGGCAAATTTGATTTGAATATGGACACGTGTGGACGTGGAAATTCTTGAAGTTGCGGATTCAAAAATCAGTTCGAATACGCGTAAACGGGACCTTGGTGCATTGACCTAAGAGAGCATTTATAATTTTCAGGTGACAGAAACCTTGTACCAGAATATTTTAAGCCTAATATCATAGGTGACGAATTACTCCTTAATTTTGGCGCGAAATTTCAGCGTTAATTTGTAATTTCACATGTGAAATTACAAAATTGCCATGGTAACCTTCCGTACGTCTCAGTGTCAAGATGGCGACAAAGTTTTAAAATGTCATGAATGAAGATGTCAGGGCAAACAAGACGCTTTAGAAAACCTGAACACACGAAAGAGCACATCAAGAAGGATTCTAACAGGTAATTTGTCGAAAAACTCTGAACTTAAGCCAAATTTAAGCTCTAAACGTTCGACAGAGTGCAGGAGTTCTCGATCGATACCATCCAAGATAAACATGTCAAAAATCCAAGATTGCTTACGTAATTCGTCACCCATGATATTAATAGGTAATCAAATGGTATACTCGTGAAATTAGGGAATAATTTCACTTGCGTTTTCCCTCGCCTAAAGGCTCGGGAAATTATAAGGATTTGGACAAAACGCAAGTGAAATTATTCCCTAATTTCACGAGTCACCATTTTACCATACATATCGCATTCTTTTTTACACTGTAATAAGTTACACGAAATAAGTTCAAAGAAAAGGTTCTTATAAACAATTATTGGATGAGGTTTTTGTGATATCCAGAATAGTCAGAATAATCCTCTCCGCTCTTTTACTTGTGCCATTTTTCGCGCGGTCTTTGACACTCGTTCCTCGTTCTTTGCTCCTAAACCATACGATAACGCTTGCTATGCAGGCTACTCAATTTCCTAATGGATTTTGTCGTAATTCCTTACCCAAGGATTGTTATTTCTAATCTCCTTCTGTCATAAAATCAAAGATGGCAGCCTCGGCACCAGGAACATAAACAAGCGGCTTCCTTTCGCCCAAAAGAAGATACGCCTACATTGCAGGCTATTTGTGGGGTTCAGGAGCGTGTCTTACTTGCGCTTTGCGCTCGAGCCTTAAAACCCGCCTATGCGTTCCAAATTACGCCTGTTGTGCAAGCTAGAACCACAAAAAAGTAACTTTTATTGTTTTTCATAATGAGTCTGAAGAAGATGAAAGTACAAGTGAAGAGGATGAAAGTGACGACTATGAAATTTCAGACAGTTTGGTGGCAAAGAAGAAGGTGACGATTCTCTTTTCTGTGGATTTATTTGGTCATGGGAAAATAATTATCATTATTTGTATTATATGTGTGAGGTCTGATGTGAGGTCATTTATAATTAATTATATTCAATTCTTGCTTCCTTGAGAAATATACTTGTGAAAATCACGCAGTACATTGTACATGAAGTTGTCAAAATGGCCCATTAAGCAGCATGTTAGATTTCAGGCCAATACTGTTCTCTTGCTACCGAGCAGATTTTCTGTCATTCTCTGGTTATTATGGTTTTATAATATCAAATCTCTCCTTCCAGTTTTTTTTTTAATAACAGAAAAGTCTTTCTCTAAAGGTCTGTCTCCAAATGACTCACAGGTAAGCGATGAAAGCCCAAGAAATTGGGACTCGTTGTTTCGTTTTCCACACGACCTTGAAATCGGCTCTCTGAGCAATTTCATCACCGGACAAGGTGGGTCACTGATGGACCCAGATAGTTGCTTGCTTCGTCTATTTCAGTCTTCTGACGTAGTTCGTACTTAGCTGATGCAAGTCAAAAGGCGCAAAACTCAATTAAGCTAAACAACCCCAGTATTATCGTCTCAGTAGGATCACCCACCGTTTTCTTATTGATAGATATTAATTGCAAATTTATTATCAATATATTTTTTTCTGGCATTCCCTTGCTTAATACTGGCACACTTAGTTTTTTTGTTTGCTGTCTGATTTTTTTTTCTTTTATTTGTGTCGTGTGCACCTGACCCTTAACAAAATCATTTATTAATAACTTATTTTAAGGCTGCCCAATCTCTTTAGCCCTCAATGGTTATTATGGGCAGCCTGCACTCTCTCTATTTGTAATCGTATTTTTATATATGTATATATAATTCAACTGATGTGGAGTACAAATAAAGTTGTTGTTGTTGTTGTTGTTGTAGTGATATTAGGGAATTTAAGCAAAGACCTTTTTGAGCTACGCACGTCAATCAGAAGTGGACTTTTCTTTCTTGAGCAGTATTTTTGCCCAAACGTTTGGACAAATCGTCACTATAATAAGAAAGAGCCTAAGAAATACAAATTTGCGTGGTCGTGTACGATAATCGTCCCCCCTCCCTGGGTTGGGTGACTCTTGTATGAAAAGTAGAGAGATGCTGAAATTTAATGCCGTCTTCAGAGTCCTGAAAAACAGTATGTCTGCGTTTGGTTTGCATATATTTCTTTACACACCTCCATAAAAGATGAGTAAAAATATCAGTTTCCATATATTCTAAATTAGAGAAAAACCTACGATTAACACCAAAAGTTAGGTTATGATGAGACTGCTTAATTTTTATTTTATTTTATTTATTTATTCCTTTATCTACTTTCTGACTAGGGTGAAAAGAGAGAAAGTGTAATATCTGAAGCAGAACTTAGTCATGGGATCCCCGGAGAGGTAGCAACGGCGAGTGAGGATCACGGTAAAAGAATTACGGAATGACCGCAAAAATGTAGCCTTTTGCTCGCAGGGTAAGGCGCAGACGTCCCTCCTGGCGAAACGTCCTTACGGGCGAGAAGCGAGGAGAGTTGGCTGTATTTGCAGACTATCTAGACTAATTAATGAACCTGATCAATAATACAAGGGAACGAATAACGAGAAATATAATACAAGGTAATTCTATCATTTACGTCAAGAGCTCTTTTGTTTACGTTCAGATTTTATGCTTTTAGTGACCGTGTCGATGTCAGGCAAGTTAAGAAATCTCCAAGAAAAGTTGAGTCAGAAGGAGTCTTCGGAAGCTAGACTACTTGAGCAACTTGGGGAGACTGAATGTGAAAAAAAGGACTTAGAAAAGCGATTAACGAGAATGGGTCAACGGCTGACAGATTACGAAGGGCAATTAGCCTTAGTCTCGCAGGAGAGAGGACAGTTTCAAAAGCGGTTAAAAGAATATGAAAAACAATTGCTTGAGAAAGAAACGCGAGTGGAACATGTCCAAACACAACTAAAAGAGCTGCAAGAACAATTCCAAATTTTAAAGGAACGTAAAGAAAGAGAAACTTATAATCTACTGGAGCAGTTAAAAATTAAAAGAAAAGAACTTAATGAATTAGGAAGTCAGCTGAGGGACCGCGAACAAGACATTGTCAAAAAAGAGACCGATCTTAAAGAAGCTAAAGAGACACTAAGCAAATATGAATTACAGCTAAAGACACGTGACTGGATCCTTTCTCGAGATGAAGTTGAATTAACAGGTAAATGCCTTGGGGAGGGAGGATGGGGTATTGTTTTGGAGGGCAAATTCCATGACTGTCCCGTGGCTGTTAAAAAACTAAAAGGATCAACCCTCACGCCTCAAGAGCTCAGTTTGTTCGAGAGAGAAATGGACATAGCTTCTCGGTGTCGTCACCCTTGTCTGTTATTATTTATTGGAGCAACTAAAGACGAAAACTGTCCTTTGTTTGTTACTGAGCTTATGGATTTAAGCCTGCGAGCTTTGTTAGGAAAGAAGCAGCTGTCAGAAACAGAAGTGTCAATAATTTCTTTGGATGTAGCTCGTGCCTTGGAGTATCTTCACCAAAGAAAACCCACACCGATTATTCACCGAGACGTCAGTAGCGCCAACGTACTACTTTGGAAAAAAAATGACCAATGGCGAGCCAAATTGTCTGACTACGGAACAGCAAAATTTGTGGCAGAGATTATGACAAAATGGCCAGGAGCCATGATCTACGCTGCGCCCGAATCGGGCAGTTCCGATTACCAAAAAGAGGTGGGTTTATCCTACTTAGTTATCAGTCTTGGTAAACGCCCGTACGCGAGGCATTAATTCATTGCACACTGAAAGAAATAAACATTATTGATTACAGCTTTGTTATGCAAGAATTCTTCAAAACCTGAGCCAAAAAGACACGAATTATCATTTTTTTTGCCCATGGTTATAATCCCCAGTGAAGTATTGTCCGTCACAGCACGAACTTGAAAAATTGGTTTGGTGCGACCCTGGCGACTGAATTATAAAAGGGATAGGTCTTCGGTTGACTGACTGTAGAATAGATCACCTGCACTTAATACTATTGGTTAACCCGAATATCAGGCCTACTGAAGTGCCTACCGAAGTTTAAGGAGGGATATTTGACAGACGAAGGAGGCGGGTGCATGTGTATGTGGGAGTGCTGTAGGCTCTCTTCCCTGGCCCTTCCTGTCGTCTTCCCTCTTTCCTAATAGCAATTTTAGCCTGGTGCTGCCGATTGACCTTATTTTAAATCAAAATTAAAATTTTTGCACGGTTACGAACATGAGAGAATAAGCAAACAGACATGACACTAAATAAATAGACAAATAAATGAATAAATACATAAATGAACAAAGAGAGAAAAAAGAAAAAATAGCGAGATCCTAAAGGGGAAAGTGCAAAGGGGACCCTTTGAGACATACAAGGCGCCGCCTTTATATCAGATAATCAGTTATTATGAGGCCAGGTTACGCCCTGCGCATAAGGTTCCCTCGAAATTACTTAAGTATTGGATTATCGAATACCCGGATGACCCCCAACCATTTGCTGGGAAACTGGCGCTAACAAGCCGCATAGAATTATTTATTTCCCGGGTGGGGTGAGTTTATACAATAACATAGAACATAAATATCCAAAGTGTACCGAGATAGAGAATTATAGCCGCATTAAAATTCTCCAATGAGGAATTTCTTTCCTAGATTGACGTTTACAGTTTCGGGGTACTTTTGACGGAAATGTGCCTTAAGAATGAGCTGCCCAATCCTGAACGGCGCGAGGAACAAGTAAGGCGTGTGGAAAACAAGGAGTTTGGAAGTATAATCTTTTGGTGCATTGAGGATGATCCTAAAGACCGACCCACCATGACGGAGGTTATCAAGGAACTGAAGCAGCTGCTTTAATTACTGCATATGATTTTCACTTATTATATTATGACTTAATTAGAGGGTGCCATATTTTTAATGGGGTTAGCAGTTAACTGATATTTGGCTAGAAATCAATAGTTAACTGATAATTGGCCAGAAAATTAATAGTTAACTCATAAATGAAAAGTTACCAGTTAAGTGATATTCTATTAATTTTACTGAATACGATCGTTGATGTCAAGGAAACAACAAAGTTTTCCAAACACAAATGCTGTTTTCTGACTTCGTTTTCTGTCCCGCTGATGACCCGGTGGCACATTTACTGATATTACCATATGCAAAAGGCACCAGGGGGCCGTTTCTCGGAAGTCCCGGTAACTTTTCGGGCCCGAAATCAAATATCGAAATCGAAATATAAAGAATAAAAGCGTGGGTCCTGTTAGCAAACTACTCCATTTTGTTTAATTAACTGATAGTTTCATCATGTTAGATGCAAAACCATTAAATCCTCGATCTTTAATGTAAACGACAACAGCTTACCGGGCCCGTTAATTATCGGGACTTTCGAGAAACGGGCCCCAGGCTAGGGTAGTACCCGGCAAACAGAAATTAAGCGTCAGTCGTAGAGCTGTTTGAAGACAGCTCAAAGCTCAATGAATAATTCGTCTTCTAATACTTAACAAGATTTCTGTGTTCCGGAAAAAGGAAATACTGTTTTCACGGACCCAAAAGGTCGTCAAGTTAAACATTACTATACACAGCAGAGAAAAAGCAGTGGCCAAAAATAAATTTATTTCTGTGGATTGCTCAGAGAAATCAGCATCTTTCTTTCAAGTACATGGAATTTAATTCGTTCTTGGGATAAATCATTTTTGTAACTGATGTATTGAGACCATTAAGCTTGTGTTTAAACTCTTACGTAACCCTTGGCCTGATATCTTTCGACGCTTTTGAAATTTTCGAAAAAGATACGTCTGCGAAAAAGGTAACATTGAGGGACGCGAAGAGGATGTCGACAAAGTTTGTAGCGAGGTACAAAAAAACTTGTGAAAATGCACGGAAAGTGAAGTAGTTTTTAGCAAAACATGCATGCCCAGGTCGGGAAGATCAGTATAGTACGTGACTGGTGCGTCTGGATCTATGAGGACGGTGTCATTTGATTGTTATACAACTTAAATCTTCTTCTTTTATTTGTACTTAAAGCAAAAATCATTAAATAGGGGCCTTAATAGCTCTTGCTTATCCATTTTTACTACTTCGGTTAGATAATTGTTCTTTTCTAAGTCATCACGTTAAGTCATCGAAGTATCACTTAAAAATAAGGATTTTTATATACCCGGTAATACTGCCATTACGGGAAACATTCTTTGAGGTACTATGGACCATATACACTGTATATGGACAGCAAGCCAAAAACAAGCCAAAGACAAGCCAAAGACAAACTTGGCTTACAATCTTTGAAGTCAAGCATACGGCGAATTCACCTGGCTTGTAGATCTCATAAGCGACAATTGTGGTTCCCATGTATAATTTGTAACTCTTAAGAATTTTAGTAATATCTTTAGCATTTTTCTACATATTTTAGAAGGTTAACTCCGTAATTTCAAATGTTTATAAATTTTAGATTTAAGGGAATTGTAATTGATCTATATACTCCTTTTATAACTGCTATTATCATTTTTTAGTACTGTAAACTTTCTATTAAATTAGTGTTTCCAGTGAGCTTGCATAAGCTGAACACAAAGTGAAGGAGGCATTCTTCAACGTAACAGCTTCTATATTTTTTGCAGACGAAATAGCACATGACATGAAAATGTTAGGCAGATGTTTTTAACATATTGCGGATTGATTGTGAACTGCCATATAACAATTATACTTCTGAAAAGAAAATGTCAAAAAAAATTACTTTTCAATCTCTGTATTTCCGCCTAGCTGGAGGCTAATTTAATATTCCATGGAAAATAAGACAATGAATAAAGACAGTATCAGTCTACGTTAGATAATAAGAGTGGAAGTTTTCAAAGAATAATGCACTATTAAAAAAGATTTAATGCTGAGCTATATGGTGTTCTATACAAGAATTAACAGTTAAAATTAATGTTGCCTGCGTGCAGACGTCTCCTATTTCCTTTGTTGCAGACGTCTGTACGCAGGCAAAAATTAATGAAACGCCGTATGAATTCTGAGAAGATAAAAGTAGAGATAAGTGAGAGAACGCGTTTGAAAACAATGCCGCACATATTCTGACAGCAAATAAAAATACTAATCGGAGGAAATTCCATTAAAATGAATCTGCACCCGAAATTTTAAGGAGACAACAGATTAATGAATTGAGACAGATTTAAGTTTGAGAGTGTTTTATTTTATGAAATTGAAAAGAACAAAACGAGCATCGTGGGGTACGTGGTTATCACTGAGAAAGAAAAAGGATTGCTGGTAGCCAAGTACAGATAAACTAAATTAGCTCATTTTTAGTTTGAATGTTTTCAGTAAAGCTCTGTTCTCTAAAGCGCAGGTAATGTTTCCAGATTAACTTTTCTCCACAGCCAAAAATTGATAACACTAAGGGCAACCCAGTGTTGCGAAACTGTCAGTGCTGAACAGTTTGCAAGCCGCCCCACGTAAGGGAATTTTCAGTTGTATTATTGTATTTTACTATTTCCTCCATTTATTTATATTACAGGCCCTTTATATTACATTACAGATTGGAGGATATAATTCATAAGATTGAAGTATCACGGATTACAAGCCGACTAAATGGAGAAGAGCAAGATACAGTGAAACTAATTACATGCCCTATGATTAAATTACAGTTTTATTTAGGATAAAAGAGAAAAAATGATAAGTACAGTAGAAAGTGGGAAATATGAAAGAGAGTAACCTGAGATCAGGCTCAATTTTCGTTTCGCTTTGAAAATTACATTCCGGCGGGCATGGAGCCGTTAGAGAGAATGTATGAGAACCGCTAAAATTGGGCCTGATCTCAGGTTAGAAAGAGAGGAAAAAAGAAAGTAGACAAAAATATCTAAGAACGTGCGAGGGTCAGTATGGCGGGGATTAATACTGAGCAAGAAAATAGTAATATAGGGCTCTTTTAAATGCTGCTTCATTCAGCTTTACTTTGGCTTTTACGAGTTCGAGATGTCTTGAATAATTTCCTTTTGTCCTTTAATTTACATAGTTATGCCAGCGATTCGCGTGCAAATGCTTCACAGTCGTCTTCTGGAACTTCTGTCTGCTGTTTCCGTTTCCATCTCTTAGTTGCCGACATGTTTACATAAAAGATTTTGACATGAAAATGAACTGAAAGAAAAAGTTGAATAGGAAACTTAAAATTATTTTCTCTTTAGCACGGAGCTTCATAATTGGCGGCCATCTTGTTTGGTGACCATTTCGTAAGGGGATCATTATAAGCAGGGGCCAGGAGCCGATTGGGTTGACTCATGGGTACAGCACATATGGAAGCTCCAAGTAATCGGCTCCTGGCAGGGCTCCATGACTCCTGGAGTAGGTCTTTTTCAAAAAAACTATAATACTGACCTTAAGTCCTCTATTAAGCACCCGGATAAGGGTTCCCCTCCCCTTTTCAGGGGAAGAAAGTTAACAAGCCCCCTTCTCTTTTAAGCTCCTCCTCCCCCGCTTATTATTCTTCACTAATAAATGATGGACTGTATTAATCAATCCCGACTGTAAAACTTAAACTTCGTTTGGACTGATCCTGGCTGGTTTATTCACCAACTGGAAGTTCGGTTTTGTATTTGATCCTCAGCTCGTTGTTAATGCAGTATTTCGATTGTAATTTGCCTGCCCGCTGAGCACTTAGGAGTTCATAAGAACTGCTTGAAACATGCCTGTGCGTTCTAGATCGAATTGATATTTGGAAGTGTTGGTTTTTAACAACAGCCATTGTGGCTCTTGGTTTCAACCAACACCTCTGTTCATTTTGGAATTGTTGGTGTTTGACCTCCATGGAGAACTGATACCATCGTCCTATCTAAATTAAGCCCCTCCTCTTAAATACGCCTAGGGTGTCTGTTAAGCCCCACCGCCCCCGCCCCCACCTCAAATGTGTTCGAAATAAATAAGCCCCCCGGGGATTTATTAGAGGATTTACGGTACTCCTTGATGTCCCTCTAAAATTTTCATGGGCAATTTCCGGCCTAGTCCCTTGGCCTCATCTATCCGAGCGGCCTATGTGGTCCGATTTTTGGACTGGTAACAAGATCTTTTCCCGCCAGGTTTAGATTCAAGATGGCGGACGAAGTTGAGCAAGCTGTTGTTACCACAGAAGGTAACGCGCAGAACGAAGAGGCTGCAGTGGGGCGATTAACACAGTTTCCACAAACTCGAGTTCGTAATATGATGAAGATTGATCCTGATTTGCATTTGGCTAACAGAGAGTCGGTATTCCTCTTAACGAAGGCAGCAGTAAGTTTGAATATAATCACTGCGTTTTTTTTAATTTCCATAAATAAAATCAGAAGTAAAGCTTTAAGAGCCTTCTATACAATATCTGCGCCCCCTATACTATTAATGAAGAGTTTCTTTTTTCTTTCCCGTTCAGAGAATTATTCATAGGGTTTACCGGTTGCCTCTCTTCACAAATAAACATTTATTCCGTCATGTCCTCAAAAATTGTATTGCTTTTATTCAGTACTCGTCAGAACATTTGGCGATATTAATTTACCCTTCTTCAGAAAAGAGCCATTTTAATCCTAGGTTGGTATTTTACAGCCCTCTTAATCAGAAAAATCGTATCATCCATCCGCATATCGATGATGTGACTTATCCCTCATCCTTTTGGAAATATATTTGCTTGGAATTTTCCCCCATTAGAAATTGACATTTCGGATGCTAGTAAAATCCAGCTAGTGGTCTATTATAAATGCTGCGTTCTGATTGGTTGAGCTACTACTAGGCTATAAGTTATAGCCCAGTAGTAACAAAAAGTGCCCGATTTTTGGCAGCAAAAAAGGATTAAAGCTTTGCTTTAAGTTGTTTTGTCTGGATATTTTTGACCAATTAGTTGGATGTTACTAAAACAATTATTCCTTTCGCCCTCATGGCCTCTGAGTCAATAGCCCATTCGGCCTCATGGGCTATTGACTCAGAGCCCATTCGGGCTCGAGGAAAAATTGTTAAATACCTGTTTTCAGAAAAAACCTCTTGCCTAGTAACGCCCCCCCGCCCCCTCCCTCCATCAGAAAATCGTATTTATAAGGGTGAGGGTGGAGGGCAGTGGGTATAAAAAGTAGAATGGTCCTTTTATAAGATTAAACAGTTTTTGGTGAGATTTTCACACAACCCCATACATTTATATACATGCAGCAAGTTCAAAGTATTTCCTAAAATTTTTAGTTTTTAATACTGTGAATAAAGTCGAGACCTGCACGCATGATAAATTATTTATAGGGCTGGACAGTAATAGTTTAACCCTCCAATAGGAAAATACCAGTATGCTCAACCCTTCCCCCCCTAAAAGGGAGTTTGATTACCTACTATTATTTTTCACATATTTGTGTTTTACTTAAGATTTATCTTGAAATTGCACAAATATTTCTCTTTACGTATTGATTCGACAACTCGACAACTTTGTAGGAGCTATTTGTTGAATATTTTGCCAAAGAGGCACACAAAAGGACTGTCATAGGGAAAAGAAAGACGATACAGAGAAGAGATCTGGGTAAGCTCAATCCTTTATGCTTGTTCTGGGCCCGGTTCCTGAAAGGGCGATTAGCTTTAATCCAGCATTAAAATTTTGTTCCGTTTTTGTATTTTACATTCCTATGCATTGCTTAGGGTAACATTTTGTGTTATCATTACTACACCTTGTAGTAAAGACTCAACAGTATTTTGTAACCTCGAGTTGCATGTTCTTAAATGAGGAAACCAGGCTTAAAATTTGGCTTAATCCTGGGGTTAAACTTAACCATCTTTCAAGGAGCCGGGCGCTGGAGATTTGTAGGAGAATTAACCTGCATAATATTCTGTTACCTTTCATCCCTCCCTGTCACTGAGGCGTTTGGCACAAGAAATGTCTCTAATTTGGCCCACAAATATTTCATACTGATGTTTGTAAATATTTGTTTAATCTGGTAGTAACAGGACTCTGGATGCAAATTTGTTCAAGTTTCTGTTTTCACCTAGTTGATTATGGTAAAATTTTGAGTTCTGCTGTGAATTTGGCAACAGCAAAACTGAAGAACCTCTGGTAAAGCAAGTATATTCCGTGGAAATTGTGGTTCTTGGTAGATCAACTGCTTGTACATTTGATATTTATGACATACGGCTGAAGGAGAGTAGTAGCAACCAATCATAACTCCTTTATACCAGATTCTGGACAGACTTTTTTTTAAGTATTGATGGGCCAAAATACACAGGTCTTACTCAGAAACATCCCCAGCAATGGGGAGCTACATGTATGAGAGGTAGCTGTGTTCACAGACTAAGTAAACTTCTTGAAAACCTTTAATCACGTGTCACTGCTGCAGAAATGATTATGTGGTTCTACTTTTTTTATAGATACAACTATTGATGAAAATGAAGAAATGGCATTCTTAGAGGGTAAATATTATAAACAATTGACTATATAAATAGCAGACACCCTTGACCCTCGATCCACAAAGCACTCTGAAGTATTTGTACAATGAGCACTGCATTGTGCTCTGCATTGACTCCCTCTCATTTTTTCTCTGCCTGCTAGGTACATTAGACTGAAACTATAGAGAGTTTACACTACAAAATGATGGCTATTGTGGGTTAAGGAGGAAAGGATTAGTTCCAGAGAAAAATGTTCTGCATAGACATCAGTATGACAAAAACTTCACGGATATTACAAGACATCTCCAGATATGGCCGTTGTGAATGGATTATTGTTACAAACAAATATTAATAGGCCACTGCTGAGTTCCAAAAACCCTCACTTTCAAAATGAGGCCAAGTGCATAACCTTTCCTGTGAAAATTAGTTTCATCTGCTCGAGAATGAAAAATCATTTCTATATCAAAGGCTGAGTACTTAACCTCGTTTTGGTACGGAGGCCCAGGGGAACTCAGAAATAACCTATTTGGATACCAGGTCATGATATGCTTTTGTCTAGGAAAAAATAATTTGTTGGGAACCCAGTGATGTAACCCTGTGAAATCCAGGGTGTCCAGCATATAATTTTCATGAAATAACAAAGATTTCTTTTCTGCCCAAGGTTAAGGTGCCAGGGCCTGCCAGTCAATGCTAAAACAAAGCCCTGATACAAAGAAATGTTAATTACATCCACTCGTAGAAGAGACTTTTATGATGCAAAAGGAATTATGAAATGTAATCTGCTAGCACAGGGCTGTCATTAACATTTCAATTTGCATGATAAATACAACAAGGATGTGGGGAATGTAACACTAGAGAGTTAAAATGGTTCTTCTGGTTCTATTTTTTTATGTTCATTTCTTGTGAAAGTAGGCTGTGGTTGCGTAGGAGGAAATCCCCGTTCCTGGCCCTTACTGACAGCCCTGTTCCAGGATTTCAGAAAGTGACTGACTTTGGCGTAGAAAATGGAGTGAGGTTACTTCCTCTGGGCTGTAACTAATATTAACTGGGGAAAATTAATGAAAAAGACAGTATCCAGGGATTTAGCATTGTTTTGTGTTTGCTTTGTGACCAATTTTAATTTTCATAAATGAAATAAATAAGTTTGACCTTTGTTGTTGCTGTTGTTGTTTTATAAGTTGGTTATTTACTAATCTTCTGTAATACATCTCAATTTATATTCTAATTCGCTACCCCGCTCAAACGAATATAAAACATTTATCATGTAACAAGCAACCTCAATTGGGGTGTGTCAACACGAGCCGTGTGCGACCCTCTTTATTATGCCTTCATCAACAGAATNAAAGAAATGTTAATTACATCCACTCGTAGAAGAGACTTTTATGATGCAAAAGGAATTATGAAATGTAATCTGCTAGCACAGGGCTGTCATTAACATTTCAATTTGCATGATAAATACAACAAGGATGTGGGGAATGTAACACTAGAGAGTTAAAATGGTTCTTCTGGTTCTATTTTTTTATGTTCATTTCTTGTGAAAGTAGGCTGTGGTTGCGTAGGAGGAAATCCCCGTTCCTGGCCCTTACTGACAGCCCTGTTCCAGGATTTCAGAAAGTGACTGACTTTGGCGTAGAAAATGGAGTGAGGTTACTTCCTCTGGGCTGTAACTAATATTAACTGGGGAAAATTAATGAAAAAGACAGTATCCAGGGATTTAGCATTGTTTTGTGTTTGCTTTGTGACCAATTTTAATTTTCATAAATGAAATAAATAAGTTTGACCTTTGTTGTTGCTGTTGTTGTTTTATAAGTTGGTTATTTACTAATCTTCTGTAATACATCTCAATTTATATTCTAATTCGCTACCCCGCTCAAACGAATATAAAACATTTATCATGTAACAAGCAACCTCAATTGGGGTGTGTCAACACGAGCCGTGTGCGACCCTCTTTATTATGCCTTCATCAACAGAATGGATGGAAATAATACAACAAACAGAATGATAACTCGGAAATGTAAAAAAATTACAGCAAGAAAAACAACCCTACAAAATGATCTAAACTATGCTCGTATAACAATGATTCAGTAAACATACAAAACGTGCTAATCCTTTCATATAGCAGCATGCAAAAAACTACGTCTAAGAGAAACCCCTGGTCACTGGGTATTTAATTTTGAGGGCGTAGGGACGGTTGTAAGACGCGAATGAATATAAATAAGAACAACTGGAATATATAGCCTACCGCTAATGAAGCAATAGTAACAGCATATCATGTAACACCCCAAAGAAAAGGTTACATAACCCATGATAAATACATTTCTTGACGCCATTCATTTGTTGGCTTTTTTTAATTTTTTCGTCATTATGGAACAAACTTTTTGATTTTGACAACACTGCGCTCAACAGGCTTGGAGAGTTTCATATTGGTGCAATTCAAGACTGAAGTTACTCCAGTGATTATGGGTAATGATATATCCTTCTTGGGCCTAAGTAATTTTTTCCAGTCATTTTTTTGGGTGCACAAAACTTGAGATGGCTAGGGCTTATGACTTCTCTAAGTAGCCCCCATCTCTTATAACTGTCTCCTCAACTAAGACAGTTTCTTGGTATTTTCTCTTATTGAGCAAGGGTTTCAATGAAAATTGAAGTAGCCGGCAGGTTTGAAAAAAGTAACCGCCCATATCAAAAAGAGGCTTTTACTCCCTTTCTTCCAGAGGGATCTGGGGGTCTGCACTCCTTGAAAATTTTGAAAATTTAATGCTCTGAAATGCGTTCCACCGTCCTGGGCTCTAAATTGGGGACAAAATATAATGTATTTTTAATCAATTTAGACAAGTAATGAGCAGTAAGTCCCAAACTCTTCTTAAATATTTTAAATCCTGAACCAAAGCTTCTGTCTAGGTCCAGCAAATCGAGTTTTAATATAAGTTTTGAGAGAATCTTTCTTTAATTTAATACTTTATTTCCAGCTTCCAATAATTTAGGGGGAAAAAGTAGCTGACTTCTCTGAGCAAAGTAGCAGACAAGTTTTGTTGGTTGTCTGTGCTTCTAAATTATTTTGGGTCAACCCCCCAAAAAATTAGGAGGGTTTGTATGCAGTTCTCTGAGTATAACCGGCTAACATCTCAGAGACAATTTGCCCGAAACGCTCATTTTTGGTAAGTAAGCCTCTTGGACATTGTTCTTTCAGAATATCCTGACAAATCCCATAATTTCAGAAATTTCATTTTTATGACGTCATCACTTTTAGTACTCTATAACATTTTTGAAAAGTGCGAATGCTCTACAGTCAAACCCCCTTTATGGATACCCGCTTATTATGGACACCTCATTATTACAGACAGTTTGCTTTGTCCTTGGGGAAATAAAGCCCCTACATTTTCTCTTAATTCAACCCGCTTAATACGGACACCTCGTTATTACAGACAGTTTGCTTTGCCCCTGGGGAAATAAAGCCCCTACATTTTCTCTCAATTCAACCCGCTTAATACAGACACCTCATAATTACAGACAGTTTGCTTTGTCCCTTGGGAAGAAAAGTCCTTACATTCTCTCTAAATTCAACCCGCTTAATATGGATACCTCATTAATACAGACACTTTCTATGCCTCCCTCAGTGTCCTTGACTGAATTGTTTTTAGGCCGTAGCATGAATATTGTTTAGTGTTAATTGGCATGCATGAATTTTTTTTTCATTTAATTTTCCCTTGTGCTAATATTTTTTTTGTACTTTGCCTGCCCCCCCCCCCCCCCCCTGTTTGTTGGTCCTTCCCTTTATGGGGTTTTTTTGCTTGGGCCATTCCCTTTTTTAACAGGGGCCCCGGGGCGGGTTTTAAAGGGCGGGGGCGGGGGACCGGGGGGGGGGGGGGGGGGAAATTTTGGTTTTTTTCTTTTTGTGGGGTTTGAAACGGTCAAGTTATTGAACCTTTTTGGGGGTTTTTTTGTGGCGGTTTTTTTTTTTTAGGCCGTGAATTAAATTTTTTTTTTTGTTATTTGTCTTTCTTAAATTTTTTTTTTTTTTTTTTTTCCCTTGTGCTAATTTTTTTTTTTTCCTTTGCCCCCCCCCCCCCCCCCCCCATGTCTGATGGTCCATCCCTTAATGAGGTTTGATTGCTATGGCACTTCCCTTTTCTAACAGGGCCCACGGAGCAGTTTTTAAAGTGCGGTGGCAGGTGACCAGGGGGAGGGGGAGGAGCAAATTTGGCTGTTCTCTCTTTGTGGCGGTTTAGAACCGTCAGATTACTGAACCTTTCTTGAGTCATTGTTGAGCAGAGTCATGTTTATAAATTTCAAGCAGCTGAAAAGTACCTTTCTCCTGCTGAGCGTGATTGCACATGCTGGATCCACCACTAGAAGTTTACAGATCATGATATTACTTTGTAGGTTCCCGTAATCCCTTCATTTTGTCTAGTATGTCATTGAAATGCGTCAGAGACCACATCATCAGCCGATATAATTTGTTTCAAGAAACCGTAGTTCGTGGAGTAGTCTTCAGATTTATCGAGAACGTTCATCAAAAAAGACCATTCCACATCGTTGCAAATGCTACATAGCCTTGCTGGTTTGAAAATGCAGAAGTGTAGGACTAAGTGCAGTTTTGTAAAGACAGGTGTTTCAGACTGATGGGATCAAAACGGACCAATAATAAATTTAGAGGCTGGAAGATTCTAATTCCAACAAAGTTACTATTTTTATGAAAATGTATGTTACACTCGAACCTCCAGAACAAAGTCCTAGGTCTAACAAACTGTTTTTTTTTTTTACTCCAGTAATAGTAAAATATAAGGCAATATGAAAAAGAAGCTCGATATAAGTTAACGAACCTCGCTATAACGAACATATTTTGCCAGTCCCTTGGCCCTTCGTTATATTGAGGTTCCACTGTACTTAATTTAATTTAATTTTTTCAAAAAGTGTGTGTGTGGGGGGGAGGGGGGGGGGTCTGGTCCCCCAGCCCCTCCCCCTGCACTGGCCCTGTCTAAGCATAAGAAATTGCCATATAATTGAAATCAAACCTTTTTTTTAAAAAATAGGCAAATTGTCTAGTTCAACCATGCAGTCCTAAAATACATAAACCTTTACCTATCTTTACTAGTTTTTTTTTAAACCTTCAAGCTTGTTGGGCTTTATAAAATTATTTTTGTTTTGTTGATTGTAATTTCTACGATTCGTGAAAGTGGAACAGGGGAAAAAGTAACGCACGGCTGCATAATATTTTTTTCGAAAGATGTATCCAAACTTTTTGCTTGAAATTGAATTGTAGTATTTCCCGCCAAAACGCGCGAGGAGTTCGCGAACAGGATCTCTCCCCTTCTTGTCCACGCGAATTGACACGCGAAATATTTTTCTGTCACACTGACGCAGTGGACACTTTATAGTACTTGTGTTCGATGTATAAGATTTGCGCTGTATTTGAACCTTCTCGACATTTGTTACCTGATGTTGGTATAAAATTCAATGGTGCGGTCAGAAGACGTCGCTGTTTCCATATTTGCAGAAAACTACCATATTTGCAGAAACCTACCATATTTGTAAAATGGGCGCCCATAAATTGAAATCGTGTGGCGCAACGATGCATTATCAGTCAGACAAAGCAAAGAACGTTTGGCCCACTAAAACACTTAAAAACTGTAAAAATCGAGTTATATTTTTCAGATCGAACCTTAAATCATGTATCGAACGGCATTTCGCGCGGGATGCCGTGTTTACGCCGGCAAGTTCTGGAAGAGAATCAATTTGCCATCGCAATCAAGATCCTTGGCCGCTTGTTTGACGTCGCAGCGTTACTCATCGTCTCAGAAATTTACCTTAGATCAGATCGCTCCTCCGAAAGATGCATTTACACGTCGACACATAGGACCCGACGTCGTTGAAGAAGAGGAAATGTTACGAACCCTCAACTTACAGGTAAATTAGACAACGCTGTATGTTTCCTCACCGCGACGCGATGTAACCTGCTAATATTGCATTTGTTTTGCTTTCAGGATGTAGATGAGTTAATCAACAGGACATTGCCGTCTTCAATAAAGTTTTCCCAAGATCTTAAGCTTGATGAAGCACTTAGTAAGTTTTGATTAAAAATTTACAACCACATGTTGCTTACATATGCATGTCGCTTTCGTTTGCTGCGTTGTTGATGCCCACATACTTAGCTAACTGTTTATATGCCTGAAAAGACGAATAGTTATAACAACGTTATAAGCCAGTCATGCGAAAACATATCTTTGATGAAAATCTCTTTTCTGCGTTAAAAATTGCGATTCAAAAGCTGAACGATCAAGAAGGACGTCAAGTATTTTTTCGTCCGGCGCGTGGCGCGTGGCGCGTTTGTGCCGGGAAATTACGCAAATAACGCCAGCAATGTCTAGACCGCAGTTGTCAAGAATCGCGAAGAAATAAACATCTCACAGTCGATTTTTACCTCTATTTTCTCGACTAGACAATTTCAAGTCTAGAAGATACCGAAGTTTATGTCATTAAGTGCAGATGTTGATGAGATTTTCACGAGCCGAGTGTTAGCAATGCGAAAGTTAGCTAGCATCATGTGATTATTTGTTGCAGAAATTGTCACGCAGCGTTTAAGCCATGTTAAAAAAAATTCCCTCGAATAGTTTTTACCACTTTTGCTTCTTCCTTCTTCAGTGTATCATCGGTTGATTTTATACATATTTTAGCATGAAAATTCTAAAGATGATAAAAATTTAAAAATTATCTTGTTGAACTTGCCAGTAGGGGTCCTATTTCGGTATAATGGATTTGTGAAGTCCAGTTGCAGAATGGTAATTACACTCCAATCTGGCTTAACCCCTTTAAATATAGACGCCTTGTTACTTTAAATAAGGACCTCTTGCAGGGCTGTCAACTCTCCCGCATAATCCAGGAGACTCCAGATTTTGAACCATTTCTCCCGGTCTCCAGATGAGAGTCTGAAATCTCCGGGATAAGTGCCAAAGTTTGCCATTTCTTGTAGATTTGACTTTCTGACAATGAAATTTCAAATACTTTGCGTTGTTTGAGCTATTTTACTGTTCACATCAAACGTTTCTTCACAAACTCCGGTATGCCATTGTAATAGAAGCAATAATGTGATTGGTGGGTCAAATGTCACAATTCCAACAACATCTTTTTCGTGCCTTTTTTTTACGAATGTTGTCATGTGCCATGTGCAAATTATGGCATCATATATCATCCCTTCCCCATCAATTCTCAATATTTGAAGGCGTGGAGGGTTGACAGCCCTGACCTTGTTGTGACAGGCTCTTTTTTGGCCCCTGGGAAAAGCCCTTGTATTTTTCTCTAAATTCAACCCTCTTGAAATGGGATATTCCATTTTTTTGTTTGAGGGAGGAGGGTGGGAGGGGGTCAATTGTTCGGTTAGCATCATCCAATGTTTATAATTTTTTTATCAATTTCAAACCAGGTGAACCAGATCTTTTGGAAAGGCTGCGGCAGATATCAAAGCACAATCAAGTCTGGAGGTCTTATATTGGCATGGGATACTACAACTGCCATGTACCCACAACTATCTTAAGAAACATACTGGAAAATCCTGGATGGTATGTGTCTTTAACCCTTGAAGCCCTGATATCCACTTACAAATTCTCCAGAGCATAGGCATGGAAGGTGTGAGCTGGGATGAGGGGGGAGGGGGGGGGGGCTTCAGCCTCCCCCACTTTTGTAGAATAATAAATAACTTTCTTTTATTTTGCCACAGTCATCTCATTAGGACTAAAAAACACTACTTTACAAAACTTTAAGTTTCTGATGAATCAGTTGGGTTTCCTGCATTTAATTTTGCTGTATGCGTGTCCAACTTCCATTTTTAAAAAAACACGAGTCTCTCACATTGGAGCGAAGTTTTTCCGCTCTGAGACACCTCAAAACATATCTTAGGAACACAATAGTGTAAGATCTGTTAAACTGCTCACAAGACATTGGCTGACACAATCGACCCCGTTGCGATCGCCAAGACTTTCGCAAGCACAAACGAACAAAGGAAGTTGCATTTTGGGAAGTTCAAGTAAATGTCGACTTGTCTATTTAAAACAAGAAACAACCATGACAATGTACGTAGCCGGTTGGATTGGGAAATTTCATATTTTTATCAGCACTCCCTCCCCCCACCACCCCCTATGGAAGGCCATCCTATGTAGTTTTTGTTATCAGCACCATTGAAGATTGCATCCAAAAGGTCGAAAATGAATTTGTTTAACGATCAAAGCATTATACCCTTGGTGATCATTTTACGGAGAAACCTGTATTAGATGGACACCCAAAAGACCTTTGCTGATGTCTGCTTGTTAGGTGTCCACTTAATACAGGTTTCTCTCTCTGAATTCTCATGACCTTTTGTCTTGATTATGGTATGTAGTGATATTGCGAAGAGAAATTTTTAAGGAGAAGTCGATACACATCTGTTTTTTTGGGAAGTACATACAGCGTCACAAAGATCAGACCATTGTATCAGGTGGCCGCTGAGAAGAGGTTAAAAATAATGAAAAATTTGAAACCTGTCATCCAAAAAAGTGGGTGCATCTCCAGCGTGCAAAGAAAGTAGTGTCCGATAGCCTGGGGCTAGTGGATTTTGCTATGGGGCTCGTAAATTCTGTTATTAATTTGCCCGATGGGCAAGTGAATTTTTTTGAGGAATTCAAATTACAGAAGAACTGTGAAATCAATCTGCTCATCAAAACGTTTTGGGGGCTAGTTGAAATGATATTTGGGCTAGTAATGTTAGCCTCAGCTTGCCCGAATGGCAAGCTTTAAAAATGACTTTCTTTGCACCCTGATCAGGAGAGGTGGTCGTTTATGAGAGGTTCCAACTATAAAGCCTTAACTGGAAAAATTTTGGTTTTTTGGGCAAGTGGTGACTTATTAATTGAAGGTGGTTGTGTATTCGCGTATGAGAGGCGGTTACACATGGACAGTTGACTGTCATAAAATGATCATTAAACCTTGTCCTTTCACTTTCCTCAGGACCACGCCTTACACACCCTACCAACCTGAGCTCGCCCAGGGGCGGCTGGAATCTCTGCTGAATTTCCAGACAATGGTCAGTGATCTTACAGGCCTTGATATTGCCAACTCTTCACTGTTGGATGAAGCCACCTCAGCTGCTGAAGCCATGGCTCTCTGTTATAGGTAAGCCAAAAAAGGAGTAACAGTGCTCCTCTGTTTACCTGCTGTCCTACGCTTTTGAGTGTGGCTTATGTTAGGGTGATGATTGATTGACTATTGATGATTGTTAGCAAGAGGTCTCTTTTTTCCTGAGGTCACCAATACAGATATAAAGAAAGTTCTGTTCTTGTAATTTATTTTGCATGTAGGTTCAACAAGAAACCAAAGTTTTTTGTGGATAAGAATTGTCATCCACAGATCATCTCTGTGGTGGAGACAAGAGCCAGGTAAGCTGTGTGTGATACTTGTGTAAAATAATCTCTGGATGTTTAATTTGTTCATGTCTAATTTAAGGACTACACCACAATATTATAAAATTATTAAAAACTTTCACCTTAATTCCAGAAATTTCTCATGGGGATGAATCTAGTCATTTGAGATTTTAATGCTTCAGCTAAGACCATTTTTTTGACATTTAGGGATGAAGTTGCTGCCAGTGTGCCCATTCACTCCTTTCACTTAGAACACCTTTTGTCTCTTAATTGATAGTTCTTTTGCTGGCATGAATAACACAGTGACAGGCTACCACCTTTCATTACCTGCCCTGCTCATGAAAGGTTGTCCACACCAATGGAATCTTCATCCCCTACTCATTTAAAACATCAAGAATGTGGGTCTTTCCACATCCCACAAAAATCAAATCAGTGAAAGTGATGTGAGACAGCTGGGCCTTTGGTTCTTTGTCCTTATTCTAGAAGAATGAGCATCTATTAAACCATTTATAGATGTCAGAATGTAGGCAGCACATTCTCAATCATTTTAACACCCCAAGTGTTAATTTTCTTCAGCCAGGAAATTAAAACTGGCCCACTACTTCAAATTCCAGTTCCCACCTGACTGAGCCTAAACCAAGGGGCTGGGTGGTCAAAACATGTATTTTTTATTTACCAAACAATCAAATACCATCCCAAACAATGTCTCCTTCTGGCTTGGAATTAATGGCAGAGCTCTATTCCTTGTACTTGTAATGATTCAGACTTGCATTGATGTACATGCTTATATTGATTTCATTTGTTCTAGTACTCTTGGTCCTGATGGTGAAGGCCTGGAAGTGATTGTTGGCGATAGAGAATCTTTTGATTTCTCCAACCAAGATGTCAGTGGTGTTCTGTTCCAGTACCCAGACACAAATGGCAATATCATTGACTTTTCCAACTTAGTGGAGAAAGCTCATAATGCAAAGGTAAATTTTTAAACAAAATACAGCGTACTTGGTTTTTTACGTGGAGTGTGATGGTGGTTATTGATTGTTGCCAGGCCCTTAACCATTTATCGAACAGTACAACACCTACAGAATACATTTATATTTAACAATTATTCGCCGAAGGCTCAGTTAATATTGTTGAATAATCCCCTCGACTTCGTCTCGGGGATTATTCAACAATATTAACTGAGCCTGAGGTGAATAATTGTTTTAGTATATTCGCACGAAGTGATCTCAACAGAACCTTAAAGGAAACCACTAAAAAATGATTAGTTTGATTGACGGGTGAATTCGTGCGTGAACACAAAGTCGTAAACAGTGGATGCTCAAAAGTTAGATTTTTACAGTATCTTCAAACATGGCAAATGATAGTTTTAATCTTTTTGTGTCAAGTTTTGTAAGCTTTAGCATCAACGGTTTAAAAGAAAACGCCGAAAATTTAAATTACGATCCAATTCTGAGAAGAAAAGTAGAGCTTTATTTGTTTCTGTCAACTCACCGTGAATGAGAAAGTTTTCTTTGTCGCTTCTTGCTAATGCTGTCAACAGCGGCTACGATCAAGGTGAGCGTTGTTTATCTCCAAAGTTCTTTGCCTTGTTAACTTGCTGGCACATACAATTTTCGAAAATATTTGCCTTCCTCTTTTCTCCATAAATTAACTTCTATTTGTAGGCAAAATTGGTCTTGCGAGAAAATCCCGAAATCACAAAACAGTGACAAAGTGACCTCGTTTTCCTCTGTCATGGTAAACATAGCTTCGATGGGACAAAAAGTCAGCTACAGTAAACCACTCCACAATAAATCACGTTGTTTAAACACTATGAAGTCTTTTCTTGCCTTCAAAGTCATCAGCACTTGGATATTCGTGTATTTTCAAAAAGGCTTTACTATGAAACTTTGGCAAAACACCCAGTTCTCAACAGCGATTTTGTTTCTGCTTTATATTCACCGCCTAGCACGGTGAATATAACGTCATAGTCCGAGATAGCTAACCAATCAGATTGCTTGAATTACCAAGATCACTGAGTGTGTATATACTAAAATATGATACTGGTAATTGTTGCTGCTATGTTCAAAAGTTCAATGAGTACTCCTGGCGATATTTTTGTATGCATTTCCCTCTAATTAAGTGTCAACATCCCTTCTTACTGTTTATTGTTATTTGTACTTTCTTCCAAGAAATGGGTTTGTGTGTGATAACATGGGGCAGGGGTGAAAGGAGACGTGTTCTGATTTGAGTGTTGACAATACAATGTGTGTGACCCAGTACATGTATCCAAATTGAGTTTCAAAAGAAATTCCAAATTTTTCAGTATAGATCGAATTTTTGGTATATAACCCAACACGGTACATATAATGTTGGGGTCTGATGGGAGTTAACGAGAGTTAATGGACAGCTATACGGTCAACTCCTGAAATATCAGGCGTTTGAAGTGAATAGCCTGAAATAAGAAAATAAGCAAATGGATGAGGGAGTGGGGGGGGGGGGGGGGGATGTAATTGAGAAATAAAGAAAACAGGAAGGGCCCCTGAATTTGGGCGGGGGTGTCAAAAAAGAAAAAAAAAAGAATTGACACAGTTGCTTTGAAAAAAATTAAGTTTCCCGGACTTGGTTACCCGTTTTTTTTCTTGATTTGTCACATGCTTTGGATAAAAACCACACGGTGATATGTGATGTGGGGGTGGTGGGGGGGTTAAAGAAGTGTAAGGGAGAGGTTACGGGCTCACCCATAAAAACTCGGGGGTTTAAAGGAAAAGCGTGAAAAAAAAAAAAAAGGAAAATGGGGGGGGGGGGGGGGGGGGGGGGTGGATGTAATTGAGCAATGAAGTATACAGGAATGGACCCTGAATTTGAGCTGGAGTGTCAAAAAAGTAAAGACAAAGAATTGACACAGTTGCTTTGAAATAAATTCAGTGTCTCGGACTTCGGTACACGTTATTTTTCCTGACTTGTCACATGCTTATAATATCGAGTTATTGAGGGTAGATAATATAGAAATGATTTGAGGGGAAACAAAAATCACTTTGAGTCAGTGGGAGGTTCAAGTTATTAAGGGCTCGAGTTACCGAGAGTAAAATTACAGTAAATGTACATGTATGAAGGAAATCCAGGGGAAATCAATTTTGGTTGAAGTTAGCACAGGGTTTGAGTTATTGAGAGTCGACTGTCATATTATTGTTAGTCAAGAGAGGCTTCTCATGCTTATTGTAATGCAGTAACGTGTAACTGATACAATATGGTACACAAAAGCCTTATTAGTCTAATAGTAATAAAGTGTTTCCGAGTTGCTCCAAACCTCTGTTTCAAAGAGAGCCTACGTGTAAATCCATTGACTAATATGAAAATGATTTTTATTCTCATGCACATAGAACTCATTTTCACAAGAGATGTTTTGCACTCGGCCTCGTTTTGGAAGCGAGTGTTTTTGTAACTTGGAAATACCCTATTATTGTTGAAAGTTGTTGTAATTGCCATTTTGTTGTTCTGAAGGCTTTAGCAGTGTGTGCCACAGATCTTCTTGCCCTGACAGTTCTAAAGTCTCCTGGTGAATTTGGCTGTGATGTGGCCATAGGATGTACTCAAAGATTTGGCGTTCCTCTAGGTAAGCTGTCAAACAACTTTAGACATGTTAGAAAGGTAGTTACATGTACAATTATACAGTCAATGCAGTCAGTGTTGCCAGATCAGGAGTTCATCCGTATGTTTACAGGTGCACTTGATTGTTACAGTAGTAGTTACTGTAGTTTGGACTTCTTCTCAGTGTCACCTCCCGATCTCTATCACAGACAATAATATTATTTTAGTCCCATTAATAAAACAAACTTTTTCACGAGTTCTACCTCTACATGTACATGTACAGTGTATAATGCAGACCCTGCTGTAATGGAAACACTTGGCTGTGAACTGCCCACTGCACCCATTAGCTTATACGTACTTGTGGAGTGTCCAACCAGCAACTGGAAAGTTGTGAGTTGTGTACAGTGTAGATTCCTTCTGAGGTCTGACATTTTCCTTCATATTTTACTTACAATAGTTTCAGTTTCATGCAATACTTTCAATATCTCAGTTGCAGTCAGTGTGTATATGTTGTATAATATTGAAATTAAAATGCCATTTTTAGATGACATACTACATGTCCAGTTCAGTTAGGCAGGCATTGTTGCTTCAGGTCAGTCAGCAAGTCAGTAAGTTGCAGATTAATCAGACATCTCTCAAGTCTGTTGGTCAAGTATTATAAGACAAGCAGGTAAGGATTATGCCAGTTAATTTATTCACATCACTGTCAAGTCATTTACTGTTAGTCAAGAACTGTTAGTAGTCTGTCATGTTAATGCGTCAGACATCAGCTTTTGTGGGGTACTGCTTTCAAGGGACAAATCTGACAGTGACTGTTAGTTTGTCTAAACTGCACATACAAATCATCATTTTTCACCTGAAACTCCCAGCAACTTCCTCAACTGGAAAATTATTCACTGCATGTTCAATATATTTCCGAAAGGCCAAAACATAAATACATGTGGTAGAAAAACCCCTCAAATATAACAAGGTTTGTCACGGAAAACCTGGAAAGTCATGAAATTTAACGATTTCATTTTCCAGGCCTGGAAAGTCATGGAATGAAAAGTCATGTTTGGTAGATTAGTTATTGCAGATGTCAAAGCAAAGATAGTGTACAATAGAGACTAGTTATTAAATAGCGCAAATGACACGCATTTTGTTGGACAGAAGAGTTTGTGTCTGTTGAACTGAATAAGGTCAAAAATACCCTAAACTTGTGGTCATGGAAAAAGTCATGGAAAGTCACGGGATTTGAAGAGATCAAAAGAGTACAAACCCTGTAATAATGTCATATTATTCAGAAGGCAATTGTTTTTGTTAATATGATCAGGCTATGGAGGTCCCCATGCTGGATTCTTTGCGGTGCGTGACATGGGAAACTTGAAGAGAATGATGCCTGGACGAATGGTTGGAGTCACGAGGCAAGCAAAATTTCTTTCACGTCTTCTCTCCTGTTAAAGTGCATGAATGCAATACTAATATGATCAAAGGCAATAGACCAATTTCAATATAATTTTTTTATTATTATTCATTGCTGAGCCCCAAGATGATTTCTTTTGTTTTATTCCCCCAAGCCTCGTAGCCAAGTATGAATTTTGATATATCGAGATTGATCTATTGACCTGCTGTCTTGAGTTTTGTTTTGTTTGTTTGTTTGTGTTGCTTCCTTTTAATATGATCCCTTGTGATCCTGTGGACTGTTGGCTTGAACATCATTAATTTTAATAATTAATCAATAAGATTATTTTGTTTTACTTGTGATGTAACCAACAAAAGGATTAAAGTTAAGGTAATAATAGTAATTTTGCTTGCCTGAACTGATTGTGGTTGACAGACTGACAGACAGACTCATGGCTGGTTGACTGTCACACGTGGCCACAGACTGCCTGATGGACTGTGCGATTGACAGACAGATCTCTCAGACTGTCTTATAAACTGTCTATTAACATGACATTCATGTTGACTGACTAAATAACTCATATTTGACTGATTCACTTATTGACACTGTACTGACTTGCTCAGAGATAAAAAACAGCATGATATTAAATAGCAACAGTCTGGTTTGCACATGACTAAGCAGGCATACACTTAAGTGGCTGCTGGCTATTCACTTGCCTTCACGAAAGTGGATTTTTGATTATTGCCAGCTGTTACAGCTGTACGTAATTTAACTGACTAAATTTGCAGGGATGCTCAAGGAAAGCCATGCTACCGTTTGGCACTTCAGACTCGTGAGCAACACATTAGACGAGACAAGGCAACTAGCAACATTTGTACCGCACAGGTAATGTGAAATTAATAGTAATTATTTCTGTTTCTGTAGTTTCCTGTATTCTGTTCACCTAAAATAAGCATTGGCTGATTTTGTCATTTGCTAGAAAGTCGTCAGGTAACAGTATGATAATTTTCCTTTTGACAGGCTCTTCTTGCTAACATGTCGGCAATGTATGCAATTTACCATGGCCCTAAAGGCTTGAAGGACATTGCTCAACGTGTGCATGATGCAACTCTTTTGTTAGCGGAAGGTAACGAAGAATTTAGTAGATGCTCATTAGTAGTGCCAATAGAGGTTTAGGGGTTGGCTTGATCTCACTGCTTTTAAAATGGATGACTCAACTATTTTATTATCACAGTCATTCCACTGCCCCAAAATTCTTGTTGCTCGTTATTGGGTAAGGAAAAGGGCATGTTTGGGTGACAAGTAAGATCCAAACGTGCGCTTTTAAGTTAAAACTTGTAATAATAATAATAATAATAATAATAATAATAATAATAATAATAATAATAAATCCCTGTGGTTGGTGGTGTGCTTGGTACAGTGAAGAAGGCTATGGTAGAAAACATCAAGAAAGAATCAGAGAGAGCTGATATGACAGAGGTTCAAAAGATCTGCATGTTGGAATCTAAGCACATCATTAGAAAGGTGCTCAGTGTATGAACAGAATGATTGACTTGAGTGACTGATGCTCTAGGTGCATGGTTTGTGTGCGGCTGATGCACAAAAAGAACACCAGCAAAGACTTTGATAAAAGAGATAATAATAATACAATGTAATATACAGTGTACAGTGTAGTGTTAACACTTACAGGTTATTATCCTTCCCCCCTTACTGGACTTTTCAAGGATGGTGAAACAAATAAAGCAAAATTAATGGATCATAGGTTTGTTAAGTATCCCAGCTGGTAGGAGGGGAACCAGTTGCGTATTTTACAAGGCATGGCAATACTGAAGATTTGAACTTGGGACTACAGAGAACAAAATAATCCAGCTAGTGATCAGGAGGAGACTTGAACTTGGGGCCTGCAGATTTCAAGTCCAGCGCTCCATCTAATCCCTTTGATCCCACATCTATTTCAATGAATTGTGAAAATTACTGCCGTTGGGGTTCTGCAACAATGGAGCCCTATAATATTAATCTTTATTTACTGATTAAGGTCTTTTTGTCTTTCTGTTAGGTTTGAAGCGTGCTGGACATATCCTGGAAAATGACATGTTTTTTGACACCTTGAAGGTAATAACAACTGGACCATATATTCATTTACGCTCAGTTGGTACATGGACAGTATGTGACCTAATTTTGTTTTTTTCATCTAAAGGTTACATCAGGCACTGGTGATGTTTCTGACATTTTGGAAAGAGCAAAACAACGGCAAATCAACCTGAGAATTTTTGATGACAAAACTGTAAGTTACTGAAAATATCATTCTAAAAAGTTTGCTTGTAGAAATGAGGAAGCATAATATAAAGCTTCTCCTTTAAAATCATAATTATTACTGAATATACTTTGTTTTTTTTCCCCTCCTTAGCTTGGGGTATCAATGGATGAAACAGTGAAGGAAAGAGACTTGAGTGATCTATTGTGGGTGTTCGGTTGTGAAAGTTCCACTGTAAGTGTATGATTATGTCCAGAGAAACTGTATGTGCATGGCTGTATATTAAGGGTGAGGGCGGTGATTTTCCCCTTTACTATGAAGGTGAACCCTTCTTTTCAGAGGCATTTATAATGTTCTCCTTGATCTGCACACACATATTAACTTTTCACATTAGCCTTTAATGTGTGACTGATTCCCAGATGTGTTAATGACATCATCGTTCTACCTTAAGTAACCTAACTGCTTGTCCAGGGTTAAAAGTGGTCTATCTGCATTGATAATTAATTTTGTGTCCCATGGGTGGATTTGGCAGAGCTTGGAAAAAGCTCCTGTCTGTTAATGCGGTAAAGGGGATTTTCTTGCTGGGAAAATAACCTTTAAGCTTACTAATGCCCAATGAGTAAGGTTCATCATCTTTGCAACTCAATTAATTGTTAACTAACACAAGCAAGAGGTAGCTCCTGGACGAGCAAAATGTGAGGGCTGCTAATGCCCAAAGGACAAGCTGGAATTCAAGTGTTTTTTATAATTGAGCCCTGTTTGAGAATGGGGCTAAGGGGATGGTGGCCTCCCTTTTTCTGTGATATTTCCTGTTGTTTTAAAAGAATTTTCAGAAAAAAAAAAGTATCTAAATAGTATGTTATAACTGGGCAAGTGTCCCGGCCACCCCTTTTGGAATTTTCTGGATCCACCCTTTGTACCCATGGTTGTACAAACAGGGTATTTTTAGTTCTTAAGATAATGTCAAATTATTATAATTTTTCAGGATTCCTTGGCTGCCAATATGGAAGAAGTACCACAAAGGAGCATTCTACATAGTTCATTCAAGAGACAGAGTGATTACCTTACTCATCCTGTGTTCAATATGTATCACTCGGAGACAAACATTGTTCGTTACATGAAGCTGTTGGAAAACAAAGACATTTCTTTGTGTCATTCTATGATCCCTTTGGTATGTGAATAATAATTGAAATTTTATTTATATTAACCTTTAATCTTGGTTGGGCTACGTAATTGTTTTAATCATGATTCGTACAAGTCATGGAAAACCAGGAAAGCCATAAAAAAAATTTTTGTTTCCAGGCCTGGAGAGTCATGGAAAATTAAAGTTATGTGATGGTGGTAGATTAGGTACTGCAGATGTCAAAGCAAGAACAATTTAAGATAGAGACAAGTAATTAAACAGTGTGAACAGCACACATTTTGGTCAACACAAGAGTTTGTGCCTGTTCAACTGATTTAGGTCAAAATATACCTCAAAGCAAGGAAAGTTTTGAACATTTTAAAAGGGAAAAATTTAAAGGTCATGGAAAAGTCGTGGAATTTGAAGAGCTCAAACGTGTATTATGTGTAAGTAAAGTCCGGAAACTACCCACTCACCCCTCCCCTGACCTTTTGAACATCAACACCACACACAACTTCCTTCTTACAGCAAATTGTTAGGTTAGGGGAGGGGCATTTCCCAGAATCCTCAGCCGATATAATAATAAGATTCTTCATAAAGTGAAGAGAAAATTGTTGACAAATACTGTTTATTTTTGCAGGGTTCTTGTACAATGAAACTGAATGCTACCACTGAAATGATGGTGAGTTTATCATTTTAATATTCAAGATAATTTAACTAAAATTTGATTTGTTTGTTTATGATTAAGGAGAGGGCTGTTTATATGGGGATTGCCTACCATTGCAGTTGAGTAGAAAAAGATTTTTCAGTAGCCTGTTCTGTAAGCGTTTCTACGCGAGTTTGTTGAGAATAAGAGCAAAACAATCTTATTGAACTTGCACAGAGCTTTGCAAACAAGCTCACACAATAAGGCTTGCTATGCAGTATTCTTCACGGCTGCCTTAATCCTTTTTCAGTGGTCTTAAGTTTCTCAAAAATACCTGGAGTAATAATTATATATAATTTTGATTAAAGTTTTAAACTGTACAGTTTACTAGGCATTATTAATGTTTTTTACATACCTTCTGATACCTCTATAATTTATTGTCAGCTTTTAAAAAAGCAGTTTGTCAGCTTTGATTCTAGCTTATTCTCTAATTATCATGTAGCTATCATGTAATTCAGCAACTTTTTTTTTTTTATTGTAAATAGTTTTATTGCATAATTTAGGCATTTTCTTTTCCTGTTTCCCTATGTATAATTTTATTTATTTATTTTTTCTTGGCTATAGTTGATTAGCATATTTAATTGCCAGAGGTCTAACCAACTTCATTGAATAAAGTTTCATTCATTCATTCTTACCTTGGCAATGTCTTTTCTTTTCTAGCCTATAACCTGGCCCAGGTTTGCCAACATCCATCCTTATGCACCAGTGGAACAAGCCCAAGGATATCGTCGTCTGTACCAGGAATTGGAGAAAGATTTGTGTGAGATCACTGGCTTTGATGCCATATGCTTTCAACCAAACAGGTAAAAGTGGACAAGAAGCTTTAACAAATTTTGATTTTAGAAAAATCTTTGGTTGAAAGGGAAATTAAAGGCCTGAAACTCTTGCTCCGCTTATGAGCACACTGTTGGCCTCAGCAGCGTGCAAAGAAAGTAGTGTCCGATAGCCTGGAACTAGTGGATTTTGCTATCGGGCTAGTGAATTCTGTTCTTAACTTGAAGTGAATGAAGTATTTTGAGGAATTCAACTTACAGAAGAACTGTGAAATCAATTCTGCTCATCAAAAAATTTCGGGGGCTAGTTGAAATGACGTTTGGGCTAGTAAATGCTAGCTTCAGCTTGCCCGAATGACAAGCTGTAAAAATGACTTTATTTGCACCCTGCTCAGCTTTATCACTCTATTGGGTACTATTAGGAAGTAAATAATTAAAAATGAGGACCTTAATCTTTACTTTTACAACTTTTCTGAGGTTCTGTTCACAGAGCTGTGAATTAATGGTAAGTCTATCCAACTCAAATTTGCCCATGCCCGGCAAAATCCTTCTTGCACTCAGAGATGATAACTGGACAGAGCAAATTTCAATGCCGATGAATATCATTTTAAAACTGAATTTTTATTGAATAGTACTTCAACAAAGAAATTACCACCAACAACTAAAATGGTTACTTGGTCAGACGTAGTGTCCTTTCTGGAAAAATGGATCTTTCAGGAAGGACGTAATAATATTATGCCCAACCAATTCTGTTAATCACCATCTTAGTCTTAGAATACTATAGAGATTTACCTGCAGAAATCGTCTTTCATTACTTTTCAGTCAAAGTGAACAATTTTTAATAATCAGTGAGAAGCCGTCTGTGCTGACAGCTAAATGTTCAGCCCAGTCAAACCTTTTCAGTTTAATACATAGTGTCAGCAGTTACATCTGGTACTTCATGTTTGCCTTACCCATTTGACCTAAAAATACTTCTCAAAAATGTGTCTCAAGACCCCTTGTTTGTTTGTTTGTTTATTATTTTTCCTATACAGTGGAGCACAAGGTGAATACGCAGGCCTTAGAGTTATCAGAGCCTACCATGAACATAACGGAAATGACCACAGGAAGGTATAAACACCCACTAATTAAAAGTATTTCTTCAGTTTAACTGTTTTTAGATATATGTCCATTATTTCACCTTTCATGGGTGTTTGTCTGTGGGTAATTTAAAACATTTCTACTTCATTATGTTGCAATCACCAACAACTGATTGGATGGGGTTAGTTGGTTTAAAGGATAGTAAAACCACGTGCATATAAGGAGAGTACTTTAATATCCATGGCAACCAAATTAGCGGTAACGACTGTCACACTGAACAAAGAGTTTAGTGGAAAATAAACATTACGAACTTAACTGAGGGAAAAGTGGACGGACGGGTAGAATCCAGCAACCAAGCCTTTGTAGTCGTAAAAAAGAGAATATTCCACAATGAATCATCGAAACTTCTTGAAGCCCTGCTACTAACGGGGACGTCCCGCGTGAGCCGTCATAACAGAAACCGCTGACCGTCATTGTCTTGAGTTTATCTTTGCCTTCTCCGCGGTCAAACGTCTATGGCGTTTTTTCAACCTCCTTCAATAAAAATTGCCGTGCTTACTTTTTTTGGTGAAAAAAAAAAAAGTAAAAATGAAGTTTTTTCGGAGTGTCGGTTTTTTGAGCAATACGCCGCAAAAAAAACTTTAAGTTAATGCTCGTCCTCGAATCTAGATGTCTTTACGTGAACTGTATGAATGACTTCGTATTCTCGTTTCCTAACTTGTTTTAGGTTTGTCTCATCCCAGTGTCCGCTCACGGCACAAATCCGGCCAGTGCACAGATGGCTGGCTATCAAGTTCAAGTAATCAAGGTGGAGAGCGATGGGAATGTCAGTTTAAGTGACTTGAAAAAGCAGGTTGAAAAACACAGCAATGAACTGGCTGCTATCATGGTCACGTACCCTTCAACCAATGGAATCTTTGAAGAAGGGATTAGGTATATCTGCGATCTGGTTCATGATCATGGAGGCCAGGTGTATCTTGATGGGGCGAATCTGAATGCGCAGGTAGGACTCTGTCGACCAGCGGATTACGGCGCTGATGTCATGCACACTAATCTGCACAAGACGTTCTGCATTCCGCATGGAGGAGGGGGGCCTGGAATGGGCCCTATTGGAGTGTAAGTACCTCAGTCTTGAAAATGAGTATTCGACACTTTGAGGTTGCACGGGAGACCAGGTCTAGATGGTTTTCAAAGTGCATTGTGTGACTGTTTTGGGGGACGCATTTCAACATGGCGGCAAAAAAGTCCCCCAAAACAGTCCCACAATGCACTTTGACAACCATCTCGACCCGGTGTTCCGTGGAACCTCAAAGTGGCTCGGATAAAAAGACGAACGGCTGTGATAAAAATAGTTAGCTTGCGTTGCAGACAATCTAAATCCCCGATTTAGGACTCTGTTGAATTCTCTGTCTTGGATTCTAGTGACAAGTCCGCCGCAACACAGGCAAGGATAAACTTGTACGTGTAAACAGTACTTGACCCTGCCCTTAAATTTGTATTTTACCCTCTCCGTTGGAAAACATTCAGCGCCATCTTTACCCTAATCAGCATCGTAATTGTAATTGTAAATTAGTTTTATCTAGGTTTCATTTAAAATGGGAACGAAATAGAATGGCGTAGTGTTGCCAAACGTTAACGAAATGATGGCCTGCTATTACAGCCGCTAAAGTCAGCAGCGACAGGGACCGATGAGAGGCTACTGTATATTCGCAGCCTAACAAAATGACGGTCAACCTTTTATGACTGGTCTCATTATTGTACCTGATTAATTGACGCTCAGTTATTTTAATCCACAGAAAGAAACACTTGGTCCCATTTTTGCCGTCACATCCTGTCATCTCACCGGAGCGCTCCGTTGGAAAAAGTTCCCATCCATTTGGTGTTATCTCAGGTGCACCTTATGGGTCTAGTGCTATTCTACCCATATCATGGTCCTACATCAAACTAATGGGCCCCAAGGGTCTTGCTCATGCAACGAAGGTAGGTTTAAAGAGAGACTGCAATGTTGATATTTTTGTGGTATTTGTTTTTCAGGGCTGTGCTCTAGTAACGCCTGGTAACCCCTGGCACCTTACTGCAGTTGCTCTTGGGCGATTAGGAAATGTTACATACATAAATTAGAGGTTTTTTAAATTTACAGGTAGCCATTACGACACCTGAAGGAGGATCGTGAAGTTATCCCTATATTAAGATCTCTTCTTACAGATACCCCACCCAGCCCAGGAAATGTTGGCCTCACCACCGGGGTCTACGACCCCTTTTTCTTTTCGAATAGAGGTGTGTGTTCTTGTACGTCCCACAAGATCTAGACAAGTGAGAGTGCTCTTAGACGGGACCTACAGTTTTTCGTCCTTATCCTAGAAGGTCTAACCGTTTGCAGATGCCATTGCAAAGGCAGCACTTTCTTCTCAGTTATTTAAAGACCCTAAGTGTTGGTCTGGCCGGGGTTTAAACTTCGACCTCCCGCTCAGAAGTCTGGCGCTCTTCCAACTGAGCTAACCAAGCGGCAGTTACATAATCCTTGCCGGGCACCCTTTTTGTTGCACTGTATTTGTTTATTTGTACTGTGGGAAGAAGCTCTTTGCAGTCAACACACCCTAGGGTATACCCATCATTTCAAACAAGACTATGTATATAGTAGCCCTTACAAGAGTTAACTTCGTTTATTTCCTCAGATTGCCATCTTAAATGCCAACTACATGGCTGCCAGGCTTCGGGATCATTACGATGTGCTTTTTATCGGAGATGACGGTAAGCCAATCAATGCCCATCACATACGTGACGCTATTTTAATAGATGCCACATAGAATTGCATTGCGCATCCTTACTCTCAATAAGTTCACGCGTGATTAGCGCGCGCATCTGCAAACATGGCTGCTTTTGACTAGAGTCTTGAGCTCGCCAGAGAAAACCATTTTTGCCTGTTTTTCCCCCAGTCCTCTCAAATTTCTTAGCTTCACACCGCGACTTTCGCGTTGATTAAAGGATGCGTAGCGTAGCCCTTTAAAACGTCGGGTCTCCGTTGGAGCCTAATAATTTCCAGACTTTCCGAAAACTCCATTTATCGACTTTTCAATTACGTCTTCCGCAATTGTTTTGTAATGATATTATTCTTGACATCTTTTATTTTCGTTTACCAGGTTACTGCGCTCACGAATTTATCGTCGATGCTAAAGATTTCAAAAAGACCGCTGGAATTGAAGCAATTGACATCGCCAAAAGACTTCAGGATTATGGTAACCTTAGTTTGTTAGGAAGTCTGTTTTGCATATACGTAATCGTCGGGATCGCCTCGATCGCCCGATTCTTCTCAAAGTATGTGCGGGCGATAGAGACGATCAACACGGGATGTGGCTCGATCAGAGACACTCGAATAATCGCTAAAACCAGACGCAACGGAAACATTACGGGGATTCTGTCTCCATTAGGATAATTTTGTACCCCTTCGTAAATAATAGATGTCTTGTGATCAAATTGCATCGTTATTAAGGGAGGCAGCGTGGCCGAGTGGTTCAAGTCCCGCCCTGATCGCGATCGCTAGCTAGATTTCTTCTCGGTAATCCCGAGTTTCCTCGGCCACGCTCGTGAAATAGCCAACTGATTCGTCTCTTACCAGTTGGGATTTTTAACCTTGATATGTTCAGTTTAAAGTTTTTGTTTTATTATCGCTGAAAAGCCCCATACTAGAACAGGATAATTAAATGTTTATCATTAAGTTCGTATCATAACCAAGTTTCTTTGGCTGTTTCAGGTTTCCATGCGCCCACTGTATCTTGGCCAGTGTCAACTGCCTTAATGATCGAACCTACCGAGAGTGAAAGTAAAGCTGAGCTGGACAGACTCTGTGATTCACTCATTTGTAAGTCAGCTTATAACATAACATAAGGGACGCGAAAACATCACTTATAAAGTGTATGCGCGTTTTTTTAGACTTTACGAAGTTGTTGTTTGCTCTCCGGTTGTGATATGTTTGCGTTAGCAAATGCCACGACGTGCAGTGACCACGAATTGTGATTTACGTGCACACAGCAGAGTCACCGTCGTCGTCGCTTAAGCTTTCCAGTGAAGTTAAATAGTAGATGGTTCTTTAATTCCTAACCGATTTTTTTACGTGTAATAATTTGGTTCTACATTCGGACGCCTCATTGTGAAGAGTAAATAACACTTTATGTCCGCAAATCATTCGCTCGATTATTTTAGCGAACTCGAGAATGAATCGAATAGGATCTTTGTTGAACATGCGCGGCCTGTTGCTAGGATATAGTTTCGAACCTAGGCCTAACAGCCGTGCGCCCCGGTTATGATTTTCGGCTTACCACCAAACGGATGCTCGCACTCGAAAATTTGCCGTTGAGTCTCCTGACTGATTATTTCTTGCTTATTTTCGGTCTTTTCTTATTTCGTTATTCACAGCAATCCGCCAGGAAATTCGCGACATCGAAAACGGAATTATGGACAAGACCAACAATCCTCTCAAGGTAAAGATTTTTCCCTCATTAAGCCACGTTTATGGTCCAACCTAATCAGTGATTGATTTGCGATTAAAGTTGAGTTAGAGCAGTCTGGCCAATCACGATAAGTGTAGAGAATCGAATTAACCAATCAGATCTCCAGCGCTAAACGCGGGAAAACGCGTTTGCAACATTTCTAATTGGCTAAGAAAGAGGCGCGTGATTTTTTTTAGCCTAACACAAAGTGTATCTGATCAGTAAACACCACCTTACCTTTCACTTTCGAAAGGCGCCTTGTAATGTTGCTGTAACTGTCTTTTTCTTTTAGAATGCACCGCATGCTCAAGATGTTGTGACTGCTGATGTATGGGACAGACCCTACAGTCGTGAAGTTGCGGCCTTCCCTGCTGTGAGTATACTAAATAAACTTAAAGCACTTTTTCTTTCACACAACTGGAAATCATAGATGGGCAGCATCAAACCAAACTCACTAGGTTCCATCTTTTTTTGCTGGCTAGAACAACCAGAAGTACGACACTACTTCAATTTCCAAAACACAGGGTTCGTACAGAGTCTTGAATTCTTGAAATTCCCCACCAGTTTTCCAGTCCTGGAGAAATTCTGGAAAAATGGTAAAAAGTCTTGGAGTTTTTTCTTTTTTTTCTAAATCTACATCAAGTGATTTATAAGTGAAATTTTTCTTCATTTTGGTCAAATCTTATTCAATCTCGCCTATACGTTTGCAGCGCATCAAGGCAACAAAAATAACTGGACTTTGAAACACCATGTGACCTGACGACCCCCTGCACACTCGAACCCAAACTCCCATATGTGTGTGAGAAAAATGTTTTTCGTTTCTCTCGTTCCTCAGAAGCGGGTCAAAAACGGACCCTTGAAGTATACGAGTGTATGGTGATGTATGGGGGTGTATAAATGTAAACTGAGGGAAATGATTTCCGGGAAAAGGAACACTTCACTGATTCATTGCAGGGTGGAGAGGAAAAAGTGTTGTTTTCCGCTGGCTGGGGATGCGTTTTGGTCTGAATTTTTCAGTGAAAAATTTTAAGGGCATGATACAGAGTTCAGTTTAGTGTTTTTCGCTGATGATGAGTTTCATAGTTACCTTGCTCGTGTGTGTTTTTTTTTCTTTTTTTTTTCTTTAGCCCTGGCTGAAAGGAACTGCGAAATTTTGGCCTGGATGTTCAAGAGTTGATGACAAACATGGAGATCAAAATTTAGTTTGCACTTGTCCTCCATTGGAAAGTTACGAAGACGTAAAGACGAAGTCTTTCAGTTAATGCAAGAAAACAAGATCAAGCCGACTGCCTTTTACCAACCGTAATTAAGCAGACTTGTGTCACGCAATGCATTTACCCTAGCCATAACGTGACGTGTGGAAACTTGTCACGCAACACTTTTATTAGAGGGAGTTCAGTTTTGCTAACTTTGGAAAAAAAAGAACAGTAAGAAGAAACTCTTCCGAGTTGTTGTCCAACAATCCAAATGCAATTCAATTCATTTTGTTTAGACTGGTTTAGAAAATTTACAAGTCTCTGCACCAAAGAACAAAAGGGAGAAAGCGTTTAATATAAACAATAAAGACAGAGAGTTATAGTTAATTGTGTGCGTCAACTAGGAAAGCATTAGGCTTTCAAGCGTCGCCCAATGTAAGGTATTCCAATCGTTACTGGGATTTCGGATTCCATTCGAACCCCGGATTCCAATCGTTAGCGTGATTTCGGATTCCATTCGGACCTCGGGTTCTAATCGTTAGTGGGATTCTGGATTCCTTCTGCTGGATTACGGATTGTAAAGCCCAGGATTCCGGATCCCACAGATTCAGGGATCCTGATTACCTTACGTAAGGCGACAAACTGGTTTCCGCAAAGGGGCTGGACAAAAGTGATGTAAATAAGGAAACGAGAGAGTACATTTTACTCATGAAAGACAATTTTAGTATTGGTGAATGAATGTAGAATTATTTATGTATCTCAAATAGTACTTACTAGTTATGTTTAAAGTGTTACACCTCGTTGAAGAGGCTGCTAGACATGAAAAGAGGACCCACTTTCCTTTTCCATTTATTTTTCTGTCTTTTGCTGTCCCAAGATTTTACGGATTTTTTTAACATTTGTGGTCAACATTGTTTCTACTCATTAATCATTCTTTCGTCCGGCCAGGAGCAGACAAAGCATACTGGTTGATTTACATTATTTTACACTTTGTTTTAGGGTTCATTGATTTATGTTGAATAAAACATGAAAGTTCAAGGTGTCATGCAGTTTGCTTTTCTTTGACATGACGGCTGAAATGAGCGGGATAATTGCCTGGAAAACGTTTTTTCTAATGACGTTACCTGTAAAAAAAAGGAGTCGTTTCAGTTATGGGCAGCTACTTAAGCAACGACGATTTTTTAAGTTCTTTCTCTAAACGTAGTAACAGACGTTTAGAATTTAATTCGTCAACATATATTTTGTCGTGACGTCAACGAACGTCCACGCCACCATGTGAGCCAGTGTGAAATGTTACATGCATTTTCTTTGCAAAATTCAGTCGTTTCAAAATTTAGCGGAGCCACCAGGCGCTACCCAATGGGTAAGACCATAATTATGTTTTTTAAAAAAAATTTGTAGTGAGCAGTAGGACTGGGCCCGAAACTATATCAGAGCAAAGATCTTATTCGATTCACGTAGAGTCTTTCTCAAGTACGCCAAAAGTGAGCAAGTGAAAGGAATGCTCATGCTGGCAGGGTAGTCCTATACACAATGCGATAAACCAATGTCTGGCCTGCTAGAAACATATTAATGGAGAGTTTAAAATACCACAACGGCGACGGCAACAAAAACGGCGAAAAAGCAATAGGTTTAGATTGGCAGAACAACAACTTGGCACGTGCATCACGCTTTTTTGTACAGTTTCTTTGCCGTCGTTGCACGTCTACGACGTGACACGTCGCAATTTCACTTTACGTGGAGGACGGGAACCAAGACAACGATTTTCTTCTTCTTTTGCGAAATTAGATAGAGCGGTTTTCATTTGAGTGTCGAAAAGTAATTGGTTTTGCACTTTCTACACGATGCGATTGGCTTAAAAGATTCGCGCCACCTTTTCATCCAATCAGAAGTAAAACCAAAGTGCCACATGTAATTACTTCGAGTTTTGATTGGTTCAATGTATTGTCTGTGTCCTATGTGATTGGCCAGAGTAATTACTTTGGTTTTGGTTTTACGACACTCAAACGAAAACCACTCTATAGTCCTTAAGAAGTCGAGTCCTGAGAAAAAACCCAACCAATGACAAACTAGACGAGTTGAAATAAAAGCGATGAAATTTGAAACAGCGCAAATCCTATTTTTGGGTGAAGTTTTCTCTGCTGTTGCCGTATTCTTTGCTTACGATCCCTAAAAGCGAGAAGAATTAGGAACAACAAGAATAAATATTCCAATGAATATAGAAACCAGCGCAGCTTAAGCCATGTAAACTTTTGATGACGCTGACTTGAAAACAGTGATAATTAATTTCTTGATCAGTTTCATCTCAGCTCATTTGCGCGCTCATCATCGCTAAATAAGATCCGCAAGCTACGCACCGCATGTACGTCAAAATCAAAATCAAAACAATGAGCTCACATTTTTTTGATTTGCAAAGTAATTAGCATGTGATAAAAACACTTTTATCAGCCAATCAGAGATGACTTTTTTTTCGATTAGGCTTGTGGTTTGTCCCTTGTTGCTGACCAAAAGGATCGCAGTCTCTAGGTTCTCTCGTACACTATCATGCGCGCGCAAAAGAAATCAACCAGGTGAAAGCTGATTATGACGTCACTAAATTAACCTACAAAAATCACCGACTAATATTTTTGGCGGTTGACTTGTTCTATTTGCGCGTTTAAAATATTAACATGCCTTCGTATCGAGATTTAAAAGACAAAATCAGAGTTTTAGAAGAGGAAAACAAGACGTTGCGTGACAAATGTGAAGTACATAGCAAGAACCGAATTCACTTAGAGAGGAAACTCATGGAGTGGCAGGGTTATGCTGAATACAAGGACGAGATGTTAGTGGCTACAATGCAAGAGAGAGAAGAGTTTAAAAAACTGTATGAAAAGACGAAAGCTGAAAACAATCTTCTGGAGTTTCATATGGAACGCCTTCAAAGGCGCTATTTATATCTGGAAAAAGGCTTTACATCATGGTTTCGCGTTGGCCAGCAAATGTATAACGAATATATATTATTTAAGGAAGCCTATTTTGATCTGCTGGAAAGGTATACTTGGGAGACCGCAAGTGACACCGTGGACAATGACAATATTACATCCACCCTGGCTATCCCTTTTTCGCCTATGCATCCTAAAGCTCCTGTCCACAGTCTACAAAACGGTTATCTAATGTACACAAATGCGTTGACTTCTCCATCGCCAGCAGCTATTCCTGTTTCAATAAGTGCGATCCCGCTCCAACCAGCCTTGGATTACTGTTCCTCTATGCTCCAGCCGATCAACTTTGGTGGCGCAGAACGGATTTTGATTCATGGTAATAACCAATCAGAAAGTCCCTCGATCCGTATTGTAAACCAAAACATGGCGATTCTATGGAGCCCACAAATGCTGATCAAACAAAGAAACCCACTTCAGATCCTTCCAAGAAAAGAAATTGCCTGTGAACAGGCCAACAAGGAAGAGAACGTTAGAGAAAACAACGAGCACTGCAAAAAGGAGGAGAGAGTAACAGAAAACAAAGATCACTGCGAAGGCTTATCAGTGCAGGAT